TATGTATGTGTGTGTGTGTGTGTGCATTTATATTTATAATCAATAACAAGGTTCGACTGGGAGCACAGTTGGAAATCAGGACACCAATAAAAAGTCAAGAGCATTCGAGGCTGGGAAACAAAAATTTCATCCAAATAAAAAAAATTGTTCTGATGTTTATATGACGGCGATAACTGTGAGTCACATTTACGAGTCTGTTTCGTAGGAGAGGCCGAAGATACACAAAAGAGAGAACAATATACTGGGTCCTTACAGACAGCGCACTCATTGTCTGTCCATAGAAACAGAGTCAGAGTTAGGAGGCCGAAATCTAGTTGGCTGAATGATAAATTACTGGCCAGACGCCAGCTAAGGTTTCCACCAACAATTGTTATGATTTGTTTATGCCCAGCTGAGCAGCTGAGGGCAAACGAGAAACGCCCGCCAATTAATTGAGGGGAACAGAGGGAGTCTATATGTATTTACAGATATGTAGTCATGTAGGTACAGTTGCTACCATATCTATCAAAACTCAATCAAAGTCTTTTCACACCTCTGGCGGCTTATCGCACGCTTCGATCGCAGGGGAAGGATGTGCGCAACTTAACTGATCCCGTGTCCCGCATTGCATTGCAACCATAACAATCGTATTAATCGTGCGATAGTAAATTAATGCAAGGCATTGTAAGGCTCGACACGATTCCTGTTAGTAACGCTGATTAGGATCAAGCATTGGCCTCACGCACACACCGCCAAGGACACATTAATGTGTCAACATGTGCGATAAGTCTGAATTCAGAAAGCGACACATCGCAAACAGAACACACAGTAGTTTTCGCTGCTTGTCCCAACCAAAAAACAAATAATACTGATGTCTAGTTCCTGGTAGTGAGATATTGTGTACAAAAGATCTGATAAAGATCATACACCCAGCACACACATACACACACACATACACACACACATATTCGATTCGTGCGAATGTCGAATGGACCACAACAATGTGCGCATAATGAGAAGAGGGCCAGCAGGCACACACAGGAGCCAGTAGCCAGGAGCCGGTAGCTAGGAGCCAGTAGTCAGTAGTCAGTTGCCAGTAGCCAGTAGCCAGTAGCCAGTAGCCAGTAGGAACCAGCAGGATTGCAGCGCTCAGATATCACAGACTATCAATATTTGAGAACTCCCTTGGCGCAGCTCGCAAATGCCATAAACTACATTTAACATTTTTTTTTTACATTTTGAAATACAGTTTTAATGCCTTTTTCTTGGCATGCTACATAAATCTCTGAGCAGGACATGCGCTTGAGGAAAATTCATATAATTTTTATTGCAATATGCAAATGGTTTGTTTGGCTCAATTTCCTTTGTCTCCGCGTCTACGCTGACCTTCAACCCTTGGCTTAGAGTACATAATGTATGCGGTTGACCGCATTTTCAACGGTTTCCGCTCGCAATCTCAGACAAAAAGGGTTGCATCAAGTCAAGTTTTTCTCTATGCGCTAACAACTTGATTAGAGAAACTTGCCGAACATTATTCTTGATTAAGTCACATTAATTATGATAATGATGACGACTGTCTCGAATCGCATTCAGCATTCAGCAAAAGGAACCAGGTCCCGGGGTTTGTAAAGAAGGGCAATTGAAACGGGAACAGAATATTGTATGACTTCAAGGTCCAGACAATGCAGTCGACGTGTGCGCGAATAAAAAATGAGCAAAGCAAAAAGACCATAAAAAATTCAAAGTGGAGAATAGAGAACAGCAAAGAACCCGACCGAAGCGAGATATTTATATATATATATATATATGTATATGTTTGTATGTGTGTACTTTGTACTTTGTGTGTATGAATGTGTGATAAATGTCAATTTCCTGCTCAGCATCCGACACGCCGTGAGCCGACTGATGACTTCATCTGTAGGATATCTAGATTATGTACGGAAGTTATCTAATAACGGCTGACACTTTTAATCCTTTTATGGAATTAATCAAGTGTGGCCATGAAAGATCCAATGCCCGAAATGGCCAGCTGCTCACTGCAGATGCAACTGATGCTCTACAGCGTTGAAGTTATTAAATACCTACTTGGCTAATTGTTAACAAAAAAGGAAGTCCACATTTGAGGGTGGCTTTATCCAGGCAGAGGCCATATAAAGCGAATTGAATAGTTTGCTTGAAAATTTGTTTCATTTCAATATTCAGCAAATGAAGTGCATTTTTGAGCAAAAAAGATTCATGTTCGATCAGAGAGAAACCCCTCAGAGGTCAATAGCCAGCTGAGCATGTTACAAATTGATTGATTAAATGCTATATAAAGATTATAAAATGAAGAAAACTCATAAAATGCAATTTCAATTATTCAACTCACATGATAAGCGAGACATTCATAAATTAACCATAAACCAGACATAGCAGAAACCAAAATACAAAAAAAAAACCAAAGTTACAAAATTTATGGACATTCATTGATCAGTGCATGAAATTTTATGCTTTATGTTGTGTCGTATGTGATTTCCGCTCGGGAACTGCGCTTGGTGGGCTAGACCCATCAAAAATAAAAATATAAAAAAGCAGAGAAAGAAAACTAACTGAAAATCAAACTAGAAATGCAGTCTGCATATTAAAACAAAAGAAATGAAAAAAACAAACAACAAACTACAGTTTTCCAGACAGTTTTCAGAGAGTTTTCCGTGGCAGCTGCTAAGGCAGTTAACCACAGTGGGCAGTCGCTTAGAAAATGACAAATGAGAAGAAGCGGATCACGAGAATCACTCGCATCTCTCCACTGAACTGTCAGTAGACAGAAAATTGTCAAAACAAATGGTTAAAGGCAAACGGATCATCTTCTGGCTAAACAATTCGAAAACAGTTGCCAAATGTGCAACTACTTGAACTACCGTTGCCAAAAGACAATTGGGTATCCTTAAGCAGTTAGGATCATTAATCATTAATCATGCAAAAAAAAAAAACGAGAAGAAAAGAACACTTAACGCTTTGCTGAACAAGAGGAACAGATGAAATCGACTTAAATTGGGCAACTTCTTGGGTTACAGTTTGATCGATTTACCAACTTGAGATCCTAATGGCCACTTCAGCGTTATATTTGAACAATTCTATCGATTATGTCACCGCAATGTCATTAATTATGCTTTTGTTTAGGCCTGGCTGTCACTTTTGTGGTTCAGCAGCCCAAAAAACCAAAATATATAGAATACAAAAATGTCGATTGCAATTGGAGAACGGGTTAAGCTAACTGAAAATCTAGGTAGATACAGCCGACGCCTAATGCTTATGAATTTCTAATGTTGCGTCATTAATCAACCAGTCAAAAGGTGTTTTTTTATTTTGGCATACGTTCAAGGCTACCTAACCCAGCAGCCCAAAACAAACAATTGACAAACACACACACACCACACACACTCGCACACTCACATGACATTGGACTATTGCAAATGCAATGCTGCGAGGCCTCTGGCTCAATTCAACTTCTAGCAACTTGCAACATGCAATCGCGTAAAATTGCGCCTGCGAAACTAGAACACGAATGAGAACTTTTTCAAAGGCACCTCCATTATGTTGGGCGCTTTGTTTGGCCAAAATCAAGCATTGGAGAACTGCCCAAAACGAACCTAAGGTCAATCTTAATAGGTTCGAGGCATTGAGCCATTGAACTTGTTGGGTAGCACCTTGGCTCCGTTTCGGCAGCTAGAGAGCTTGCATTAGCACATGCTATTAATTCTTCAGCGCTTGCATTGTTAAAAGACACTCACAAGACAGTCCGTTGGACAATTCAACGGTTGTTAATAAGACCCCAGAACTGAGGGCCTCAGGCTTCAATGTTGAGATCTGGCATACACAATACTAAAAAGTAAGATTGCTCTCTACTCAAAAGTGTGCGACTATTATATACCCTTTGTTTTTATATTATAAAGTTTGATTAAAAATTAGTTATGATTTATTTGAGTCTTGATGTAAACTTAAAGAATAATAATTAAAATATTTACAATATTTTACTTATAAAAAAGTTTTTATATGTATTTAATTCTATAGTTCACTTACCCGAAATTCGTATTAGCTAAATAAATATTTAAAAATTTGTTTTATTTAGCATGTTACCAATGTTAGCTATGATGCCCATTTGATGCTTAGAGGGCATACACACTCAGAACAAAAATAATCTCATTATTACACAACGGACAAAATGCGTTAATTAACAGAAATATGCAGCGCCCACTTGGCAACTCTGGCTGCAGTAACGCCCCACAGTCGCATTCAATTTGGCTATAGATGTAGCAGGGAGCAGGCGTTGGGATATACCCCTATCCCATATACATATATGCTATATGCATATAGACTATGGACTATGCCTTCAGCTTATTATTTACGATTTTTCGCATAAATTTACGCGAACGCTCGTAAAACTGCGTGAAATACGACATTTTGAGTTCTGTGAAAGTGTAACACCAAAAGCCAGCACTAAGATTGCGATTGGGATTGAGACTGGGACTGAGACTGAGACTGGAACGTGAACCTGGACCTGCACAAGGCTGCTGCCATCAAAGAGGAAGAGCGAGAGAGTTAACTTGCCATGAACAATAAGCCAGCATCTTAGTGATTTGTAGCTTTCAGCGTTAACTTGGCAACAATGTTGCTAATAGATGTTGCTAATCTGCCGCCGCAGACGCAACATTAAGCAACAAAAGCTCTAAAATTCCTTCGTTATACTTTCAACTGGAGAAAGCTTTTCACTGAAACTAATGAAGAGGCAGCTTAAATCAGTGTTGTAAACGAAAGGCGTTTTTAAATAGGACAATCGAGCTTTTATTGGCCTTATTTCGAACTTTCCAATTTCTAGACATTTTCTACTTCTAAATAGATAGTCTTTATTTCGTGATTCTTAAGCTGATTTCTCCAAAATGTCTTTATTCTTTAAAGTGGAACTGAACTTCCTTTCATATTATTTAATTTCATTTGTTTTAATACTAGAAAGAAAATGTGTTCTGTGGTTCTATTTGGGTTGGTGCACATGGTAGAAATATATTTGAGTATCTTGGATTAGTATTACAAATAGTTTGAATATTCATTTCAATCATCTGCCAAGTCTCCGACTGTAATTGTTGCTGGCGGGGCTGTAGCTGTTGCTGCGGTCACACTGAAAGGCAGACCGTGCTGCGTGGCCGATGCCCAGCTGCGTCTGGGCAGAATACGGCCGAAATTGAAGTATTTCTGCCTCAACTTGTCCTTGATCTCATCCTCGTTCATAATAGCGCTGGCTTCACGAAAGTTAAGGAAAATGCGACCCTTTTCGTCGGTTTTAATGGGCAGAATCTCAGTGCAAACGTTGCGTGCTTTGAGCAGAAATCCTTCCTCCTCCTCATGCTGGCCAGTGCTGATGATGGCCGTATCACCATCGCCCTGACTCAACTGATCCTCGGGCAGGGTGACGACAGTGTCGAGGCGTGAGTCCATCGATTGGGAGCGTGGCGGCTTCGCAATGGATGTGCCGTGATTCTTCTTCTTGCGCAGGCAGAAGGGATCCCGATCGCTGGCCTTGACATACTGCACCACTGGACGGTTGACGCCCCACTTAGGTCGATCGTCCATTTTGTTGGCATCCTTGCTGTCCTTGCTCAGATTCTTCTTCGCCTTGTCCTTGTCCTTGCTCTTTGCCTTGAATGTAGTGGTTGTCGTTGTTGTGGTCGTTGTCGTTGTCTCGTGATCCTTCTCGGCTGCCGACTCCTCGGCGGGCTGCGTTTGCGACTTGGATGTTTGCGTTGTGGTTGTGGTGGACACCTCACGCTTCAACAGCACCTTGTAGAAATTGTCATGGAACAGGCACAGATCACAGTTAAGCGGCAACTCCGTCTGAGTCTCCACATCTGCTTGCAGCGCTCCATCGTTGGGCTGCGGCGGTGTCTTCAACGGCATCAGCGCCAGTTTGTTTGGCTCCAGGGAGTCGGGTGAGAAGCTGCAGCCACTGGCCGAGCGGGCCGTCTGCATTAGCAGCTCGTCCTCCTCCTCCTTCTCCGCTTGATACCCATCCTCGGTGCAGATGGATGTGTCTGTGCGTTGGGTCATCGTTGCCTTGGAATAGCACTGCTCCATGCTATTGGGTGGCTTCATCTGTGGCTGCTGCATTAAGTAGGTGGCTATCTGCAGATTCCCAATGGCATTCTGCAGCCCAAATATATCGCTGGTAACGGGCAGTGGAATCAACGTAGCCGGCTGCATCAGCAGCGCCATATTCTCCTTATTCTCCTCAGTTGTCTTCTTGGCCGTCGACTCAGTGGCTGGCTGCTTGATGGGTTTGGTGATGGTGCGACGCAGATTGATGGGCGTCCCAATCAGCACCTTCTCCTCCGTAAGCAAAGCGGGTGGAGCTCCACGTGGCGTATGACTCTCTGGCTCCGCTGTCTTGTCTTTAAGCTCTGCCGCCACTTTCAGTTGATGCTGCTTTGGCTGTTGCTGCTGCTGTTGCTCCTCCTCTTCCTCCTCGACTGAGAGCACCCTGAGCAACTCTGGCCGCTCCTGACTGGGACTCTGCTCTATAGGCGGCACATGTTTCTGACGCTTCTTTTGCTTCTCTATTTTAGCAGCCAACTCCGCCTTGGCAATGGCATCCAGCAGCGCCTGTTGCTTCTTTCGTGCCGCCTCCTCGCGCTCCAGCAGCTGACGTCGCTCGTAATCTAAACGCTCCTGCTCCATTAGATTTTCCCGTCGGATGCGTTGGTCCTCCAGCTGCTCCTCCTGCCGCTGACGCTCCAGCTCCCATTTGCGTATGAGCTCGCGTTCGTGGAGCTGCTTCTTGATGGCATTGTGATACTCGGATGCCTTGCGTCGCTTGTCCATGCGCTCGGCCAGCGTGTGTGCGTCGAGCGGCGCATTCTGACCCCTCAAATAGGTGGATGAGGATTGCATCGATTGCACATCGTCCTCGCTATCCTTGAGATCGTGCATGCCACGATTTAGCCAGCCCGGTTGCAACAATTGCTGCTGTTGCTGCTGCTGCTGCTGCTGCATATTATAGTTGGCCCAGCGGGCGCGTTCCCGATCCCGCTCGTGCACATAGTAATCGCCCTGCTCGGAGGTATTGCTAATGTGCACCTGATACGTATTCGATGTGGACACATCGCGACTGAGACTCATGTTGGAGGAAGTCGACGGCACCGGCAAATAACAACAGCTGTCAATGACAAGAAAAATGCATTAGTTCTCTCAAAGTGTGAAATTATTAATTGAATTCTTGTGCAATGTTTAGTTAAGTTACATCGTTTTCTAGTATACTAATTTCGATTTGTTTTTAACTAACTAGTTCAAGTTCTGTTCTCATTTACTCACCCATCTGCCATGTAGCCATCGGCTGCTATTGGCTCATAGTTGTGACTGTGGTGCTGGCCAGGAGCACGTCCTGCTTTCATGGCGTATGTCTGTTTGCAGTTCGACGTTGGTGCCGTGGACGTGGGCGTGGCTAGGGGTAGGGGTTGTGGTGGGGGTAGGGGTAGGGGCAGGGGCAGGGGCATGGGTAGGTTAATGGGTGTACCCTGTATCGATCGCCTCAAGCGCCTCACGTTGCCAACTGCAGCGCTGACAACGCTCTCCTCAGCTGGGCTGGCGCTGCTCCCATTTTGACTGGCGGCGTCGTTAAACCAAATATCGGGCGTGTGTGTATTCTTGGGCGTATCGCTCAGATAGCCGGAAGTGTCTTCTTCCTGGCAACCGACTGCCGCCTGATTGCCAATCGAATTGTTTAATCGATGTGGCAGGTTGCCTCCGTTGCCGGGATCAATGTTTGTTGCCTTCACGTTGCCATTGACTATTTGCTGCTGCTGCTGCTGCTGCTCCTGTTGTCTCCTTACCGCATACTGCCGCTGCTTAATAGTGGGCAAACTAGGACTTCTCAATCGTTGCTGCTGCTGGTGCTGCTGTGGATGCTGGTGCTGCTGTGGATGCTGCATGCGTCCCTTGGCCGTTTGCAGAGATGTGGGCACCAGCTCCACATAACGTCCCGGCGGAACCTGCAGCTGTAACTGTCGCGCTGACATTCCGGGGGCATAGCTGCCCCGTCGATTGCGCCTGTAGAGCAATTCATCATCCTCGAACTCGGCATCGGCATCCACATGCACATCCAGATCATCGATATAGCGCTCCAGCTGATTCATATAATCCTCGCTGCGCTGTCGCTGCATTTGGCGATAGTCCGAGGGGACGACGGGTGGTCGCGCAATCAACTGCATGGGCAACTGATTGGGTGGTGGGCGGGCATGACTGGAGGTCTGATTCGATGATGATTCGGTCTGGCTGAGATCCAGATTGGAGTAGTAGGTGCGTATGGAGGTGCGTTCGATTTTGTGGTGCGATGTCGACGATGTCTGCTGATGATGAAACATCTCATCTCTGCGAGCAATTTCCTCTAATGGAATGAAAAAAACAACAAAATAACATACATTTCAGCAATGGCAACACTTGGGAGCTGTGGATTGGTTGACCCACCTCGTTCCTTAGCCCATTGCTGCTTTTTCAAGTCGAGCAATCTATGCGTTTGTCTTGCTTCCGGCCCCGTAATCATGTCTGTTCACTTAGTTCATTGCACCTGCCACAACTGGGGGTCAGCTACTTGCTGACACAGACACAAACACACACGCACACACACGATGCTGACGTCACGGCGCACCACACTTTAGTTTGGACACCACCACGGGACAAGGCTAAGGCAAACACTGAATGAAAGACAGCCAACAAAATTCCATCAAACTCGCGACACTGAGGCAAAATTCGATTTGTTTTGCATTGGAATGTCCTGACAGCGTTGTCCTGGCAACCAACACGTGTAAACAAATAAGGAAGCACGATATTCGTGCTGCAGACAGTTTAATACTCTTTTTGTATTTATATCAATTGTAATATACCGGAATATCTCGATTTAGATCCTTTCCGTTTCGTCAACGGTCGTCAACAGATTGGAACATTTTTTAATATCTCTATTCTCAATTAAAAGCACTGACTTCGTGTCATAATCTAAGTATTTAATTATTTCCTTTTCACTTAGATAGCCATTTTTTTGGAATGAATCAAATCCTAAATTCAATTTTTCTGAACCAAACCTGTTGGCTCTAAAAGATTTTCCAAATCTGTTGCATTATGTTTTGAATCGTGTATTTAGTCACAAAATTCAAATACCCTCAGCAAAATTGGCATGAAAAACTTCCTCAATGACTGTGGGAGCTAAGGTGTGTGGGGCAAAAAGTCTTTGCACTCCACGCGCAGTGGGTTAATGCAGTCAGGAGCGGTTCGCGTGCGAACCTGTCTGTTTGTTTGGGGGGTTTCTATACTAAAAATATGCCCAAACGGCTAACTCAAATAGACATTGCATATATTAAACTTATATTCGGAGGGTGAATTTTTTGTTGGGAATTGGGCGAGCAGCTTGTTAAATTTTTGTTATTGATTAGTTGCTTTAGTTAGTCATGCAAATGAGTTGCTAGTTGGGGAGCAACAAGTTTGGCTCTTGGGGTTCGATTCTCAAGTTGATCAAAAGTCGCGTAGGTGTGAAATACGGAACGTCCTTCATTTTGTGGTCGAGGAATGCAACTCGATTAAGAGAGGGTACAGCCTTTGTATGCCTAGTTGGCCATCTACCTGGGCAGTCTGACTCACAAAAGTTTATTTCCCATGGTCAAATAGAAATGGCCAAAGATAAAAGGAAGAAATATCTCATAACCCATTTTCCATAAACATACATAAACCACAAAAGCCACAGCAAAAGTTAACCAGACTCATTGTTGTTGCTGTTGTTGTTTCTCTTGTTGCTGTTGGGTCTGGTTTATACGCGTGGGCGTAGAAATCACTGCCAGTCAAAAGGTCATGTTATGATCTTGAGCGAACTATGTGTCTAAGTCCGACGATGACGCTGAGGAGCATGGGAGCCCAAGCTCAAAACCCAAGCTCTTGCTGCAGTTGCTGCAACAGCAGCAACAACAACAACAACAACGAATTTCAAAGACACAGAGGAGAGCCAGCAAAAACGAAAAAAAAGAGCAGAGCAAAACGGATCAGTGTAGAGCGAAACTGTGGACGGTACGGCAATCAAGAAATCCCACTTGATACAAGTGCATTTATAAGACATTATAATGAGTTTTTATAAACTTAAACAGGGTCGTCGCTACTCTTCACCCCCCTTGCGTATGCAACATCCTCCACCCGCGTTAGCCTTTGGGCGTCACTTAACTAGTCTTGAACTTGGACAGGCTCTTGAATCGACCGACAGCAACCGAACACTGATCATGAGCATTGATCATGAACTGAAGATGATAATTGCTTTCAGCTAGGTCAGCAGTTGAGGCAGCAGCTGCCACACCAGAAGTACACATGTCACCAATCCGATCAGGTTTTGCAGCGTTGCCCAAAAGAAAGTGATCAACAGGCAACGATCAGCGATCAGCGATCAGCTTAGCTAAAGTATTCAAGACAGCGATGATCGTGTCTTATGGCCAACCATTTAGGCAGCAATTTTCATACATCTTGGACAGCGATTTCTACACAGCGATTTTCACTTGGTGTCCGAGCAATCATCAATTGAACGATCAGCGTACTCGATCGCTCTATTCGAACTATCGATGGATCGATCGATGTATCATTTAGTGTATAACCTCAATACGGCCCGATCAATAAACAAACAAGCCAAATGCCTAATAATTGTAATTTACCATATTTTGGTCGGCGATCATATGGCGATCATAGACGAAGCAAACACGATCGGGCCCCAAAGGCACCATGGTGCACCATGGGAATGGGAGTGGAAGTGGATGTGGGAGTGCATGTGGAACTGGGAGCGAGTGGAACCTGTAAACGTAACCGTTTAAATGGCAGGGCAGCTCAAAACTCAAAACTCACAACACAGAATACGAATAGGAGTACGAATAGGAGTAAGAGTTCGAGTACTCATGGCTGGGCAATACATATTGATCAAAATTGATGATGTTGACACGAACTTTGAACGAGGCGCAACAAGCGATGACTTTACGATCAGCCACAACATCTTCGTCATCGTCGTCTTTTACTACATCTCTTCCTACTCCTCCTCCGTCTACTCCTCCTCCAGCCTCTTCTACACCATCTATTTTTCAAGGGTTCCCTGGCAATATTTTCATCAGCACTCGAATGTTGAACGATTTTCACAAGTGTTTATTTACTTATATTTTTTGTATATCGCATGTAAAATAATAACAACTTTATACATCTTCAAGTGAGAGTATCACACAATTGATACATACACTTACACGATTGATTTTGAATGGGCTTTTAGCTCAGGCCACGATATCATCATTAAGCAACGATCGTTGGATGTATCTAAAGCTAATTGAAGACCGGCTCTTGGCTCTGGGCTCCTCAACTCAATTGACATTTGGTTAAATGTGTGTATGTCGTATAAGTTTCGTAAACAACAGCAACAACAGGTTCAAGTTGTTGCCTTACAACTGAAGAATTTAATTGTTAAGATGACACTTTTGGCTGTGATGGCATTGTGTTGCATTTGCCATAGAATTTCTGGCAAAACAATTTTTTTTTATTTTTATTCGTTTGTTTGTTTTTTTTTTTTTGGTGTTGCAACCTTAGCGCGATCTCTTTGCAACTTTCAATTTAGTTAGATCTCAGACCGGGTGTCGTCGTCGTCGTCGTCATTGCCAAAAATGGTTAGTCAGACAAAACGTTCCAAGACGTCCGAAAATACGAACCAACAACAGCAGCAGCAGCAGCAGCAGCAACAACAACGACTCTGACCAACTGTCTGTTGGTCACATTCGAGTAATAGCACCAAAACTCGCCAACAACTGTCAGGTGTTTAGATGCCTGCCTCAGATCTCGCTGCCTGCGCCACGAGTCGCCTTCATCCAACTGGCGAATGGAGTCCCATCACTTAGGCATGCACCCTGTAATACAGCAAAAGGGAAAGTCCCTCAAAAATGGTTAATAACACACACAGCAAATGTTTAGGGCTTAACAAGAAAGATAAGAATGGACTGATCAAATCTCTGTTAGCAGTGAGCAGCATTGCAATTAAGGACTTTGATCTATTGAGCATTTAAACTTACAATCCGAGTTGAGATTCTTTGATCTACAATCTTAAAATATTAAATTTCCGTATTATGTTAACATGCTATAATACCTATACATTGATATAGATTTATATACGTTAATTTAGTAAAATTTTAGTTACTTAATAAAATGAAAGTTAGAGAACTGATTAAATAAAACGTATATAAATATATATTAATAAACATCCATTCATCAAAAATTAGGTTTGGTTGGTTTTCATTCTTTCTGGATGGACCATTCTCCAATAAGAAAAGGAGACAAATTCTAAGATTAAATTGACTGAAAAGTGAATCATAAAGGATATCTACGCTTCGGTTTACTGTTGTTCAGTGCAACGCGCATGTTGCAGCTTGTAATTGTTGCCACTCGTCGCTGTGTGTTGTCATTGTCTTTGTCGCTGATTGTCGTTGATCGCCACTGGAGCTGGTTGTGTTGTTGTATTCTCCAGCTGACAACATGTTACACTTTGGTCACAATAATGAGCCGTAATTAGTGCTGATGTGTGGACAACTTAGATGCCCCAACAATGTGGCATGATAGGACGCGTGTGAAACTTTGCGCGCTTTTTGATAATTGCGACAACGAGTTGTTGCTTGTGTTTGTTGCTGTTGTTGTTGTTGTTATTGGATATCGTTGCTTGAGTTGAGACACTGACATGGCCATGCATCAACGTCGGTGTCGTAAATGTCTGGCTAAATGAAAGGAAAACTGATTAGCCTTGACAAGTTCAAATTGTTTGGCGTAGGGACTGAAGACAGCTATATGCCACTCAGAGAGTGAAAGCGTTAGGGTTAAGTCAACGAATAAAATGTGTTTTTCGCCAAGTAAAATCAAAAAAAGAAAAGAAAGAAACTAACCAAATATCAAAATGTCCACTGATTGCCAACGCTTGTCGCACAGGTTAACCAGCCAACCAGCCAGCCATCCAGAAAGCCAGCCATCTAACGGTTAATACAGTCCATCATTATCAGCCACCAACACCGCCTAGCAGTAAAAGAAATGCGTTACCAACAACAGCCACAGCAACAGCAACAAGAACAACTGCAATAGCAACATCAACAGCTCTAAGGTCAGTTAGAGACCGAAAAAATTGTTGTGCACACACACGGCAAAAAAAAGATTCTCACAAGGCTGCTAGCTCTGCTGGCTGGTTCTGCAGCGCTGTCCGCTGTCCGCAGTCCGTGGAGTCTAAGTCTTAGCTTTAGCCTCAACCTCAGCCACAGAGCCTGCAACATGAAACAGGTGTGGCACATCGCGTCTACAATGCGCATCGTAACTACCAGCGCAACACACAAGCCAAAATAAAAAAAAAATAAAAACAAAACTGGGAGGCTGCCCCGGCCGTTTTGGCCAGGCCATCTCAGAGTTGTGCCTCCATCTGAGGCAGTAAGTGTGCACCGCGAGAAATTATCGAGAAACTCGCCTATGAATATAATACCAAGAATCTTATTTTTAATATACTTTTTAATACATAGGGATTATCATATGAGAGCAGAATAATTTGTACTATTATTAGTTCATAGTACATAGAGTGTTATACTCTCTATTTAATGATCGAAAGGAGG